CAGGGGCCCCATGATCCCCTATTGCCGGGGGCCCCATGAGTTGTCAGTCGCCCCTGAAAGAGCCTCAAACAAACAGCAAGAAATTGATGAGGTCACCTCTCTGTCCTCTTCTCCTCTCCCGTTCCTTCTCATCATGTCTAATTTCAGGACACCTGATTGGCCCCTAGTATTGGGCCCCTCCCCCTTCCAGGCTTAGTGCTGCCATATAGACTGCCTGTAATAAGTAAAATTCTGGTATTTTTATTTGTTTCATTTAAAATCCATTTAATGTATTTTTTTTTAATGGACACATAACAACCTTCATTGGTGCTTTTAAATATCTGCCTGGAGTTCAGATTTAATGGTAATGCTGATTTTAATTGGATCATTCAGCAATGTATCTGATAGGGAAAAAATCAGTTTAAAGTCATTAAAAAGGTTTTAATATCATGAGCCGAGCTAAATAAAACTACCGCTCTTCTTTTTATTTTTTATATTTGAAGCCTGGCAGGGTGACAACGCTCACTCACTCTACCTTGCCTATGGAGGAGCAGCGTTGTCATCCTAGGAAAGGACTGGAGTGGAGGTGTTCTGTAGTCTGGAAAGGTCATTAACATTTGAGGATTCAAATACGATCTCCATGTGTAATACATAAGGGGGGATATGATCTCCATGTATAATACATAAGGGGGGGGGGATATGATCTCCATGTATAATACATAAGGGGGGGGGGATATGATCTCCATGTATAATACATAAGGGGGGATATGATCTCCATGTATAATACATAAGGGGGGGATATGATCTCCATGTATAATACATAAGGGGGGATATGATCTCCATGTATAATACATAAGGGGGGATATGATCTCCATGTATAATACATAAGGGGGGATATGATCTCCATGTATAATACATAAGGGGGGGATATGATCTCCATGTATAATACATAAGGGGGGGGATATGATCACCATGTATAATACATAAGGGGGGATATGATCTCCATGTATAATACATAAGGGGGATATGATCTCCATGTATAATACATAAGGGGGGGATATGATCTCCATGTATAATACATAAAGGGGGGATATGATCTCCATGTATAATACATAAGAGGGGGATATGATCTCCATGTATAATACATAAGGGGGGGATATGATCACCATGTATAATACATAAGGGGGGGATATGATCTCCATGTATAATACATAAGGGGGGGATATGATCACCATGTATAATACATAAGGGGGATATGATCACCATGTATAATACATAAGGGGGGGATATGATCTCCATGTATTACACATAAGGGGGGGATATGATCACCATGTATAATACATAAGGGGGGATATGATCTCCATGTATAATACATAAGGGGGGATATGATCACCATGTATAATACATAAGGGGGGGATATGATCTCCATGTATAATACATAAGGGGGGATATGATCTCCATGTATAATACATAAGGGGGGATATGATCTCCATGTATAATACATAAGGGGGGGATATGATCTCCATGTATAATACATAAGGGGGATATGATCTCCATGTATAATACATAAGGGGGGATATGATCTCCATGTATAATACATAAGGGGGGATATGATCTCCATGTATAATACATAAGGGGGGATATGATCTCCATGTATAATACATAAGGGGGATATGATCTCCATGTATAATACATAAGGGGGGGATATGATCTCCATGTATAATACATAAGGGGGATATGATCTCCCATAAGGGGGGATATGATCTCCATGTATAATACATAAGGGGGGATATGATCTCCATGTATAATACATAAGGGGGATATGATCTCCATGTATAATACATAAGGGGGGGATCTCCATGTATAATACATAAGGGGGGATATGATCTCCATGTATAAATACATAAGGGGGATATGATCTCCATGTATAATACATAAGGGGGGATATTATCTCCATGTATAATACATAAGGGGGGATATGATCTCCATGTCCGGTACTCACAGAGAGCTCCCGATCTCCTCTTTCAATCGGGACCTTTCCCGATCATGTGACCACCGTCATGGCGTTCACATGACCCTAAACCCCTCCCCGTCCCGCCTCCTGGTTTCTTAAACTCTAAAAGGACCGGGCGGTGCCGGCATGAAGGGGTTAAAGGATGGCTAAGAATTTTGCCTCAATTTGTACAATACGGAGGCATAAGGGAGCCTGGCTGCTGGGACCAACATCCCAGGAGGTCACTTTGGCCCAGGGTAGTTACTTTCTTGCGGTTTCTTGACCCCTTTTTAAATATTGGCACCACATTGGCCTTACACCAATCCAGTGGTACTATGCCAGTCATTAAAGAGTCCCTATACATACAAATCATCTCCTCTGTAGATCATCAAACTTTAAATCTGTTGGAAGGAAGAAAATATTCACAGCTTTGATATTCATTACAGTCATGCCTACGAAATGCTGACACCCAATAACATTCAGGTATTTGTAAGGTGGATTTCACAGAATTTGTCACAACTCTAAAGCTTTTCATGAAATCAATACTTTCTGTTGCTGTTTCAGGTGCTTTTGCAGCAATTTTGCTGTTCTCATTGATTTTTATAGCAAATTATATGCTTGAACCATCACACTTGTGTACTTAGTGGGTTTTTTTTCCCCTTTGCTAACTTTCTACATGATAGGTACATCAAATATTGACTGCCCTGATGAAAACGGAGCACGGCGCTGTTCTGGAGTCAGGAGGAAAGATCTCCTACGGATTCCTACAGAGGAAAGTTATATACAGAAGTTCAGACCTGAATGTGGTGAATGCTGCCGATGTAGTTCAGGGGTCTCCAATCACTTCCATACAAGGGGCCACGTAGTATAGTTTACAAATATTCACAGACCAAAAAAAAAAAAACATTTTATAAATAAATGAGTCTCTTTCTACATCGGTGTCCCTATCAGATTCCCTCCGTACATCAGGGCCTTCATCAGAGTCTATCAGAGCACCTCCTTGCTTAGGGGTTCCCATACCAGCCCCCACTTACATTAGGGTCCCCATTAGCCTCCTTACATCAGAAGCCCCCCTAACATCAGGATTCAACTAAAGTCCCCCATCACTTTCACCATCCCTCTTACATCAGGGCCTTCATCAGAGTCTAACTTGCATCAGAGTCTTTATCAGAGCACCCCTTTACATTGGGGTTCCCATACCAGCCCCCACTTACATTAGGGTCCCCATTAGCCTCCTTACATCAGAAGCCCCCCTAGCATCAGAAGCCCAACTAGAGTCCCCCATCACGGTCACCATCCCTCTTACATCAGGGTCTCCATCAGAGTGCCCTTATACACCAGGGTCAACATCAGTGTATCCCCTTACATCAGGGTCCCCATTAGAGTCCCCCTTAACTCAAGGTCCCCACTACATCAACACCCCCCCCCTTAATTAGGGCCTTCATCAGAGTCTACCTGACATCAGAGTCTCTACCAGAGCACCCCCTTACATTGGGGTTCCCATAACAGCCCCCACTTACATTAGGGTTCCCATCAGCCTTCTTACCTCAGAAGTCCCCCTAACATCAGGATTCAACTAGAGTCCCCCATCACGGTCACCATCCCACTTACATTAGGGTATCCATTAGAGTGCCCCCATACATCAGGGTCCCCATCAGTGTATCCCATTACATCAGGGTCCCCATAAGAGTCCCCCTTACCTCAAGCTCCCCATTACATCAACACCCCCCCCCCCCTTAATCAGGGCCTTCATCAGAGTTCCTATCAGAGAACCCACTTATATTGGGGCCCCCATAATAGCCCCAATTACATTAGGGTCCTCATCAGCCTCCTTATATCAGAGCCCCCCCAACATCAGGAACTAAGGGCAAAGCCCACCCCAGCACCCCCCTAGATCCAGCCCTGCTCAGAATATGCTGCCACTGTGCATGGTAGCCAGTCAGCTCCTACCTTCAGCAAGTTCAATGAAGCTTTGGCAATAAAACCTGGAAGCTGATTGGCTTCTATGCAGAGCTGCACCAGATTTTGCACTCTCCCGTTTTACAGAATAACCCTCTATACAGGGGCGGACTGACCATTAGAGCACTCGGGCACTGCCCAAGGGCCCGGGGTCAGTAGCGGGCCCCATTAAATGCCCCTGGTACCTTTTTTATAGGCTTTTTTGAGCATGGGCAAGGACACAGGGGCCCCATGATACCCTATTGCCCGGGGGCCCTATGAGTTGTCAGTACATCCCTGCCCCTATGTATGTTTGGCCCAAGGAGATGCTAGCTTACCATATTTAATATAGTCCTCCACACCAGTCCCAGTTTCTCATGTGGCCTCTTGGGAAAATGAATTGCCCACCCCCGGTCTATAAAAAAAGGAAAAGTTTGGCTGGAGTTCCACTTTACATAATACATATGATTGCCATTTAGTTGACCTTATTGGCCCCTTTCAGGCCGGGCTCTGAGACGGATATTTTGTCTTTTTTTTATTCTGACGTAAAGCCCAACCACCAATACAGCGAAATTCAGGATTCCTTGTAATAGACAGTCATGTCTGGCATTTTTTAAAACAATTATGTTGAGATGGAAACCTCTTCCTCTTGCGCGTGCTTTGAAAGATCATTTCAAACCTCATGGGCTGGCGGAATCCTGTCACATTTCTTTAGAAGGCGCCTGGCGTTATCGCGCGCCGTCATGGGATTTGAGAATTGCGCTGTAATCCCAGATTAATGCCTCTTCTCGCAGTCAGTATGGAACTTGATAGAAACGTTTATCGTGATTAGATAAGAGGGGAGAAAACATGTGTTGTCTTGTCTGCTTCCAGAAGAAAATATCTTATTTTAATGCTCGGATGGTTAACATTCCACGTTTGCATTTGTCTGATTTATGATGTCCCAGTTGGCTGTGAGATGCTCAGTGGCAGAAAAAAAAGATGTAAATTTAGCTGTACAGAAATCTATCTTATGGATAACAAGCATTTAATGGCTGAATTCCAGACTTGCCTTCAGTCTTACACAGGTGTACCGGCTCCTCCCCTTCAGTCTTGCACAGGTGTACCTGCTCCTCCCCTTCAGTCTTGCACAGGTGTACCGGCTCCTCCCCTTCAGTCTTGCACAGGTGTACCGGCTCCTCCCCTTCAGTCTTGCACAGGTGTACCGGCTCCTCCCCTTCAGTCTTGCACAGGTGTAGCGGCTCCTCCCCTTCAGTCTTGCACAGGTGTACCGGCCCCTCCCCTTAAGTGTTGCACAGGTGTACCGGCTCCTCCCCTTCAGTCTTGCACAGGTGTACCGGCCCCTCCCCTTCAGTCTTGCACAGGTGTACCGGCTCCTCCCCTTCAGTCTTGCACAGGTGTACCGGCTCCTCCCCTTCAGTCTTGCACAGGTGTACCAGCTCCTCCCCTTCCGTCTTGCACAGGTGTACCGGCTCCTCCCCTTCCGTCTTGCACAGGTGTACCGGCTCTTCCCTTCCAGTCTTGCACAGGTGTACCGGTTCCTCCCCTTCAGTCTTGCACAGGTATACCGGCTCCTCCCCTTCAGTCTTGCACAGGTGTACCGGCTCCTCCCCTTCAGTCCTGCACAGGTGTACCGGCTCCTCCCCTTCAGTCCTGCACAGGTGTATCGGCTCCTCCCCTTCAGTCTTACACAGGTGTATCAGCTCCTCCCCTTCAGTCTTGCACAGGTGTACTGACTCCTCCCCTTCAATCTTGCACAGGGTGTACCGGCTCCTCCCCCTCAGTCTTGCACCGTTGTACCGGCTCCTTCCCTTCACTCTTGCACTGTTGTGTAGGCCCCCCCCTTTTCAGTCTTGCAAAGGTGTACCGGCTCCTCCCCTTCAGTCTTGAACAGGTGTACCGGCTCCTCCCGTTCAGTCTTGCACAGTTTTATCGGTTCCTCCCCTTCAGTCTTGCACAGGTGTACCGGCTCCGCCCCTTCAGTCTTGCACAGGTGTACCGGCTCCTCCCCTTTAGTCTTGCACAGGTGTACCGGCTGGCGGAACTGTCCCAGGCCCCGCCCCTTTTCAATTATTGAATTCTATTCTTTTTCAATAATGAAGGCTCAGCATTATATGTACTAACTATGGTGGTCTGAAAGCAAATACATTCTACCTAGGAATGTCACTCCTCAAGACAAAGGGGCACACAGGGGTCAAAGGAGCCCCTGGAGACACAGGTGTGCATGGGGTCACTGGATGCACAGAAGCACACAAAGGTCATTAGAAACACAGTGGAGAAACAGCAGCATACAGCAGTTACCAGAGACACATTGAAGACATAGGATTGCACAGGGGTCATTAGAAATGCAGGAGTTTACAGGGAGTGCATGGGTGTCATTGGAGGCACTAAAGTCACAGGAGACACAGGACTACACAGGTTCTGAAGACACTGGAGTCACTGGAGACACAGCAATGTACAGGGGTTACATGGGTCACTAGAAACATAAAGGTCACTGGAGACAGAGGAGCACACAGGGGTCATATGAATCAATAGAGACACCAGAGTGCACAGAGGTCACTAGAGATCCAGGAGCCCACAGGGGTCTTTGGGAGACACTGGAAACACAGGGGTCACTGGAGACACAGGAGTACACAGGTGTCACTGCAGACACAGGAGTACACAGGAGTCGCTGAGGACACAAGGTTGCACATGGGTCACTGGAGACCTGGAGACACTGGAGTACACATGGATTACAAGGGTCATCAGAAACACAGGAGTCACTGGAGAGACAAGAGCACACAGGGGTCATCGGATACTCTGTAGACACAGGAGAACACAGGGGTCACTGGATTTACTGGAAATGCAGGAGTGCACAGGGGTCTTTGGAGACCCAGGAGCACACAGTGGTCACTGTTGACATAAGGGTCAATGGAGAAACTAGAGACAGAGAAGAACACAGGGGTCACTGGATTTACTAGAGACATAGGAGTGCATAGAGGTCATTGCAGACCCAGGAGCACATAGGGGTCACTGGAGACATTGGAGGCAAAGGAGAACACAGGGGTCACTAGAGACACAGGAGAACACAGGGGTCACTAGAGACACAGGAGTGCACAGGGGTCCATGGAGACACTGTAGACAAGGTCTGTAGAGACAATGGAGACAGAGGAGAACAAAAGGGGTCGCTGAAGACAATGGAGACACATGAGCACACAGGAGTCAGTGGAGACACACGAGCACACAGGAGTCAGTGGAGACACACGAGCACACAGGGGTCACTGGAGACACATGAGCACACAGGAGTCAGTGGAGACACATGAGCACACAGGAGTCAGTGGAGACACATGAGCACACAGGGGTCACTGGAGACACATGAGCACACAGGGGTCACTGGAGACACATGAGCACACAGGGGTCACTGGAGACACATGAGCACACAGGAGTCACTGGAGACACATGAGCATACAGGAGTCAGTGGAGACACATGAGCACACAGGAATCAGTGGAGACATGAGCACACAGGGGTCACTGGAGACACATGAGCACACAGGGGTCAGTGGAGACACATGAGCACACAGGGGTCACTGGAGACACATGAGCACACAGGAGTCACTGGAGACACATGAGCACACAGGAGTCACTGGAGACACATGAGCACACAGGAGTCAGTGGAGACACATGAGCACACAGGAATCAGTGGAGACATGAGCACACAGGGGTCACTGGAGACACATGAGCACACAGGAGTCACTGGAGACACATGAGCACACAGGGGTCAGTGGAGACACATGAGCACACAGGGGTCACTGGAGACACATGAGCACACAGGGGTCAGTGGAGACACATGGGCACACAGGAGTCACTGGAGACACATGAGCACACAGAGGTCACTGGAGACACATGAGCACACAGGAGTCAGTGGAGACACATGAGCACACAGGAATCAGTGGAGACATGAGCACACAGGGGTCACTGGAGACACATGAGCACACAGGAGTCAGTGGAGACACATGAGCACACAGGAATCAGTGGAGACATGAGCACACAGGGGTCACTGGAGACACATGAGCACACAGGAGTCACTGGAGACACATGAGCACACAGGGGTCAGTGGAGACACATGAGCACACAGGGGTCACTGGAGACACATGAGCACACAGGGGTCAGTGGAGACACATGGGCACACAGGAGTCACTGGAGACACATGAGCACACAGGGGTCACTGGAGACACATGAGCACACAGGGGTCACTGGAGACACATGAGCACACAGGGGTCAGTGGAGACACATGACCACACAGGAGTCAGTGGAGACACATGGGCACACAGAGGTCACTGGAGACACATGAGCACACAGGAGTCACTGGAGACACATGAGCACACAGGAGTCAGTGGAGACACATGAGCACACAGAGGTCACTGGAGACACATGAGCACACAGGGGTCACTGGAGATAGGTACTGAGAACTGCAGCAAGGGCTCGGCTTAGATGTAACAATGCATTGCTCGCCCCGGCCCTTTGAGCCAACACCAATCAGGATAGCTGTGCTTATTTTCTGATCCATTTTGAGCTGGTTTATTGGCGAGCATTGTTTCCTCTACAACTTTTCCTTTCGGTCACAACAAGCTGACCTACGAGTGATTCCCGGCCACAGATTCATTCTGAGGCTCTGCCACATCAAAATATTTCAGCGCAGCCAACTTTGGCAATTCGATGAGCGTAGTAGACAGCTCGCGATGACTTTGAATAATGTATGGAGGTTTGCATATGACATTTAATATGCGTTTCATGTGAGCCAACAGCTTAATTACATCTGGGTGACATTTAATTTCAGGCTCCAAATTATTTTCCTCCCGTTACCTGATTCCATTTTTACACAGAATGAAATATTTAGGAACAGACATAAAAATAGTTATATATATATATAAGAAAAAAAGAAGCTGGTCTTTGTTTAGAATGGCGCGCTCCGCTGAATCGTGAAGGGGATGCTCGGGCCGTGTTTTGCTGACTTGCAGAATGTTAATATGAATTTGTTTTGCTCTGAGGTATCTTGGATGTATAATGTTTAAATAATGCAGAACGGGTTCTGTGAATAATGCAGAACGGGTTATGCGAGCTCCTGCGACGTTGTAGCGTGGTGCCGGAGGAGAGGGTAGCATGCCTTGTGGCACAGTTTACAATCTTAAAAGTAAACTCCGGCTGAAATTGGAAGTGAAGTCTTCAAGTATATATGAGGACACCATCTTACCATCTCATCCTAGGGAAGCCCTTTTCAACCCCTTTACCTTGGAGGAACTCTTGGAAAAAACATTGAGAACTTGGGGAAGCCCTAAAATAATTTTCAGGTCTAAGGCTCATGGAATGTTGGTGTGATCGGCAACCTGTTGATATGCTCATAATTTGTTGCTCTTTAAATAATTTGTTTCTCTACATCTTCTTTCTTGGTGGGAAATGGAAGTCTGAGAAGGATTATTATTATTATTATTATACAGTATTTATAAAGCGCCGATAGTTCGCTCAGCGCTGTACATTACAAAGGGGGACAGAACATGTGACAGAACAATACCAATACAATGCAAAACATGAGGGGATCGAGGGCCCTGCTCCTTGGAGCTTACAATCTAGGAGGGAGGGGATGGTGGCACAGGAGGAGATAGCTGTGGGGGATGGAGTGGTAGGAAGAGTGGAGGAGGTCAGCAAGTTAGCAGGGGGTGAGGTAGGCTTCCCTGAAGAGATGGGTTTTCAGGGTGCGCCTAAAGGAGAGGAGAGTAGGTGATAATCTGATGGGTTGGGGCAGGGAGTTCCAGAGGATGGGTGACACCCTGGAGAAGTCCTGGAGGCGGGCATGGGAGGAGGAGACCAGGGAACTAGAGAGAAGGAGGTCTTGTGAGGAGCGGAGTGTGCGTGCTGGGCGGTACTTGGATATTAGGTCAGTGATGTAGTTTGGGGCAGTATGGTGGACAGCTTTGTACGTCAGTGTTAGGATTTTAAATTTCATCCGTTGCGCAATCGGAAGCCAGTGGAGGGATTGGCAGAGGGGGGTGACCACCATATCTCTGTGGAACCCTAAGATTCCTCCAGAGGTATCTAGGGGTTCCTGAAATTGTGGTATATATATTCTCCCGTCTGACGGTGCCTCCATGGTTCCAGGTCCAACACCCAAAACACAACGCTCCCATGTCCCAGTCTTCTCTGAGCACTCCCTCCTCTCTCTTGCAGCTGCCGCTGGCTGACACTGGTAAGCCATGTGACCAGGCCCTAGTGGGCTGAAAATAGGTAAGTATCAGGGGTGGACTGACAACTTATGGAGCCCCCGGGCAATAGGGGATCATGGGGCCCCTGTGTCCTTGCCCAAACTCAAAAAAGCCTATGAAAAAGGTACCAGGAGCATCTCGTGGGGCCCCCTACTAACCCCGGGCTCTCGGGCAGTGCCCGAGTTTCCAAATGGTCAGTCCGCCCCTGTTAAGTATATACATCTTTCTTACATGGGTTACTCAACATAGGTCTTAGGAGGGGAGTGGACATTTTTAAGGCTGGAATTCCACTTTAAAGTGGACCTTCCCCATCTTCAGGACCTTTTATAGAAAAAAGTGGACCTTCCCCATCTGTCAGGAACAGTATATAGTCAGGGGGGGGACTGACCATTTGAGCACTGGGGCACTGCCCCGAGGGCCCTGGGTCAGTAGGAGGCCCCATGAAATGCCCCTGGCACCTTTTTATAGGCTTTTTTTGGGTGTGCTTTGAGTGTGGGCAAGGACACAAGGGCCCCATGATCCCCTATTGCCCAGGGGCCCCATGAGTTGTCAGTCTGCCCCTGTATATAGTGTTAGGGAGAGGATCTGGAGGAGTAGGCACAGTGCTGGGACCACGCTACACTCCACTTAGGAAGCCTCCCAGTTGGGTTGGTCCGGCCAGGCCTCATTACAGAAGCTGTTGGCATCAATTCATGCTAAAGTCCCACTGCAAGATGGTTTCATAAGTGACTGCGGACGGTTTTATAGAAAAAAGTGGATCTTCCCCATCTGTCAGGAACAGTATATAGTGTTAGGGAGA